GACAAAGAATGGATAAAGAAGTGAGAGTCGGAATGATTTATGTTGATGTTATTTTGTATTTTTAGGGAATGACTTAGGCATTAAAAGTCTACTGATGGTTGAACTGTTATTTTAGATTGATGTTCTTTTGTGTTTTTAAGTAAGAAAAACTCATGTTTTATAATGTTTTGGATTTTGTAATACTAGTAATACTGAGTACTACTGTGTATTATGCAACTACTAAGAATCAAAACACGTTTATCACATTTTTCATCAATAATTTATTAATAAAAATATAAAAAAAACACTTAACACGTGCGCCGCAAAACGAATTAAAAATTGTATTTACTTTACTCATAGTCATACTTTGTTTTCGAGTAGTACTGGTTTGCACATAGTTATATTTCGATTGTTTTCACGTATAACCATTAGTAAGTACATAAGATTATAACTTTTCTAGTAGTATTGACCCAATTGATCACTTTAAATATATTTMCTATCATTTCMTATACTAAAATGTCRGACAACACCATAATCGGATGTMTCACATAACAAAGTGGCTAATAACTCATACATGAACCATATGTATAAGGTATAATTTTAGTAAAAATATATGTTTTGCTCTAAATTCTTTGAAATTATTCGTATGTTTCCAGTGCTACCTAAGTATTAGGTAGACACAGTCGTAGATACATAAATGGACATAGTAAAGAAACAAAACGTAATCATACAACTCATACATAATCATACTTAGTTATACGTAGTTATACCTGGCAGAGAGAATTACCAAAAAATAACAAAACACAGTCATACTTAGTTATACGTAGTTATACCTGGCAGAGAGAATTACCAAAAAATAACAAAACACAGTCATACGCAGTCATACATAGTTATACCTAGCAAAGAGAATTACCAAAATAACAACACATAGTCATACTCAGTCATATGTAGTTATACCTGGCAGTGACACCATTTGTACCTAGTTAGGTTCCTTGACATTGGATTCCTACTCAACCGTATAAAACTTAGAGGCAAACTCATAACAACGGACCTCATTTCTTCTGCTTAGTCGGATGATACCTTGTATTG